AAACTCCGTCTCAAAAAAAAAAAAAAAAAAAAAAAAATTCTCCTTTAATAAAGTGATTGTTCTTATGGGGTCCCATGGGTAAGTTGGCTTTTGAATCATTTTTTCTGGTGTGCTATCAGACTAGCATAAACAGAACCAGGGACGTTGTAGGCCATCTTTCTTCATCCTCTTACCCACCTCCCAGTGACCAATTCCTTAGGTGGATATGAGTGATAACTGCTTAAACTAAGGCCAGTTCCTTTTTAGTTTTACTTTTTGTGTTAGGTTTATAAAATCAAATGTAACAGTTATAAAATTGTGACAGTGAGTTTGAAATAATATACTTTTATTTTGTAGGTATTTCCTTATTGTCTTTGAGAATCCTGTCATTTCATAATAACAAATCATTATTGTTCATTGACAAATGTATTGTCCTGCATATTTCCTGAAAGAGATGCTACAAATAGAGTACTCAACTGTTTTCACACTACCCTTGTATATAATTTTTACAAAAAATGTTAGAAATACTAGATTAACAATTTTTGTTGCCAAATTATAGAACTGCATTGTCTGAAACAATAGGTACTAAGTGTATGTGGCTATTGAATTCTTAATTTTGTTTAACTAGATTTTTTTGTTGTTGTTCTCCTGAGACAGAGTCTCACTCTGTCACCCAGGTTGGAGTGCAGAGGCATTATCTCGGCTCACTGCAACCACTGCCTCCTGGGCTCAAGCAATTCTCATGCCTCAGCCTCCCGAGTAGCTGGGATTACAGGCACTATGGTCCCAGCTACTCAGGAGGCTGAGGCAAGAGAATGACTGAACTGAGCATCAGCTTTTAAATCTAAAGTAATACAAATTTACTAATCTAAAATAAAAATGTACTTTAGATTTAAAAGCTGATGCTCAGTTCAGTCATTGGAGAACTTTTAGGGATGTTACACCTTTAGTTGTTCCAACTGTCAACTATAAATTTTATGAAGTCTCAATACGGATCAGGTATTAGTATCCAACTTAAGATGTACTATAAGTGTAAAATACCAGACTTTGAACATTTATACAAGAAAAAACATAAAATGTCTCCATTTTTATATTGGCTGCATGTTGATAATACTTTGGATAGACAGTATTGGGTTCCATTAAATATATTAGGTTTACCTCATCTCTTGGCCAGCGCTGTTAGAAAATAGCAGTGTCTCTGGGCCTGGCCCAGAGTAGATGGTTAGCAGATATTGTTGAAGAACTTGGTATCAGGTTCTTTATTGTGCCACTAACTTCATAGTCACCTGGTTGTGATAATGGGGGCTTGCCTCAACTTTGAGTCTTCCTTCTGTTACACCTACAAAATTAGGATGATAAAGTCTATATCTCTATCCCAACCTGTGCTTTAACTGGTTAGGCATACTTACAAAACTGGCATTTTCTTTAAATCTAACTCAAAGACATTTTTCACGTTGTGGATGGTACATATGTAGCTCATGTGGATTTAACACTTCATGAAGAAGATACGTGTAATGAGCACCAGCAGGAGCCAGCCAAGATTTTTACTTCACTGAAAGTGTCTCAAGACCTTGATGTAGTGATTGTGAGCTCCTCCAACTCCGCAATTGCTGTTAACTTAAATTTATATTTCAGGTATGTAGATGACTGCAGTTTTTAATTTGAGGTAAATAATTAGAGCCATAAGAGGATAAAAATATACTTGCTAATTTTTTTTAACTAGTGTTTCTTTTTCTATTCAGATAGATCATGTTCTAGCCACTACATTTTAATTACTGAATAATGTATAAATGAGCACTGGCACCTTTATATTTCTGCATGTACATCAGAGTTTTGATTTTGACTTACATGTTATCATACATGAGTTATGTCATATAATCAAAATTATGCAATTTTAAGCCACAGTTTAGCACTAAATTGTATAGACCTATTATTTCCCTAATTTTCTCATGTTTCCCATATTGTTTATAAGCTCCTTGAGAACCTGAATTCGTGATTTATTCTTTAAATTCATTGTCAATGACTTTTTCTTTCAGTTTACCTTAGCTTTCTTCTTCCACAGCCATACCCTAGGCTTTGTCAGTATTTGAAGTTGCCCCTCCCCCAGGTCACTACTTTTCACATCTCGGTCTCTGACCACAACTTCCAAACTTTCCAGCTTGCCTACTCAAGTACTCCCACTTCACTTAACGTCTGACCTCACTGGAATTTCCAGTTAATTCATTGACCTTCCATTCTTTATCCTCCTCCTGTTTTCACTTCCCTCTCTTTCCAGCATAGATTCTGTGATCCATCATACCAGTTACTTACTTGCATGTACTGTAAACTCTTGCTCCTGCCCTGTGATAACACTTGGTCTGGAAAAATTTTAACCCTCATTGAAATCTTTTTTCCTGCCTTCATGGTGTCTACAGTCAAGCAGCTAAGCTCTTGTAGAAAACAACAAAAGAAAACTGATACCACTCTCAAAGTTGACATTTAGTACCTTTAACTGGTCTTAATGTTGCCTGGAAGTCTTACAGGGATTTTTCATTAGCCCATTCTTTACAACAGTGTTTTTAAACTTTCTCTAGTTTCCTCCTACCTCTGTTAATCTCTTTATTCACAACTTTTCATGGGTGACCTTGCCTCCTATGAAGGCCCATCCCTATGTGTGTGCTCTAGATCCCATTCCTTCCATCCTTCTTAAGGACCTTCCTCCATTTTTCCTCTTTTCTATACGGTAGTCACCTTTATCCACAGTTAAACTTTCTCATGATCAGTTGTGGTCCAGAAATATTATATACACTAAGATATTTTAAGAAAGACAAAAGAAAAAATTACATTCACATAACTTGTATTACAGTATATTGTTGTAATTGTCCTATTATTATTACTCCTTTACTTTGCCAAATTTTTAAGTTAAACTTCATTATAGATATGTATGCATAGGAAAAAACAGTACAGTTGACCCTTGAACAACTCAGGAATGCCAACCTCCTGCTCAGTCAAAATGCCACATATAACTTTTGACTCCCTCAAAACTTAGCTAGTAATAACATACTGTTGACCAGAAACCTTACTGATAACATGAACAGTTGATTAACATATATTTTGTATGTTATATGTATTATATATATATATATACTGTATTCTTACAATATATGTATGATATGTTATATATACATATATATAATTTTGTATATGTATCATATATATAACATTTTGTATGTTATATGTATTATATATATGTATTGTATTCTTAGAATAAAGTAAGCTAGAGAAAAAATATTAAGAAAATTTTAAGGAAAATACATTTGTAATACTATTACTGTATTCATAGATACTCTAAATTTACATAATCTGTTTACAAAATGAGTCATCTGTCTGAAAAGACAAGCAACCTCAGCAGCATACCTCAACCCATGGTATATGTCAGGCAATTCATGTTTTTCTTACAATGTCATGACTTCTTGGGAGCACTTCCAGCATTTCACATGGGTCCCATGGTGTTATTCAAGGTTATAGTATGGCAAGAAACATGAAAAATAGATGAGAACCATAAGAAATCACTTTTTAAAAATTGTTATTTTATTATTATTTTAGAGACACGATCTAGCTATGTTGCCCAGGCTGGACTCAAACTCCTGGGCCCAAGCAGTCCTCTAGCTCAGCCTCCCAAATAGGTGGTACTGTACATTCATGCCACCGTGCCTGCCAGAAAGATCACTTTGTACAGTGATACACAATTTACTGGAGAGGAGCTGCTCACACAGAGATTATTAGTATCACATGGCATTTTAAGCAGATACTTAACAACAATAGGGCTCACTGCAATAGCAACATGAAGTGGCTATGAGATTATTACAGTAGTATGGTATATACTACAGCTAATTATATGCAGTTTTGATTTAATACTACATCTTTACTTTTGTTTACCTTTTCTTTGGCTTCAAATGGTATCGTGTATAGTCTGTAAGTGTGTACATAGGTTTTGATAAATGTTTATGATAAATTTGTGCTTTTTTTTTTTTTTTTTTGTTTATGATAAATTTTTGCTTTTTTTTTTTTTCTTTTGAGATGGAGTCTTGCTCTACTATCCAGGCTGGAGCACAGTGTTGTAGTCTTGGCTCACTGCAGTCTCTGTTTCCTGTGTTCAAGTGATTGTCCAGTCTCAGCCTCCTAAGTATCTGGGATTAGAGGTGTGTTACCTTGCCCAACTAATTTTTGTGTTTTTAGTAGAAACAGGGTTTTGTCATGTTGGCCAGCCTGGTCTTGAACTCCTGACCTCAAGTGATCCTCCTGCCTCTCAGCCTCCCACAGTGCTGGAATTGCAGATGTGAGCCACCATGCCTGGCTGATTTGTATATAATTTATGGTAGTAAATGATAAAATAGAGTAGTATCTACGTAACTTTTATGCATTTATGACATACCTGACTTAATCTTGATTTTTAAAATATTTCTGGGCCAAGGTGGGCATGGTAGTACACGCCTATAGTCTCAGCTACCCTGGAGGCTGGGGCAGGAGGATTGCTTGAGCCCAGGAGATCAAGGCTACAGTGAGCTATCACTGCAGCACTGCACTCCAGCCTGGGCAACAGAGCAAGACCCTGTCTGAAAAAATACATATTTCTAGGCTACATGGTTCATTTGTGAGTTTTAACGAATTGTCATAAATCTCCAAAATTTTTTAAAATATGTTTTTGGGAAAGAAAACATCATATAAGTGGACCCATGGAGTTCAAATCTGGTATTCAGGGGTATATATAGGCTTTCATACTATCTGCAGTTTTAGGCACCCACATGTGCCTTGAATGTATCCGCTGTGGATAAGGCGGAACTACTCTTTCTCCAACTTATTTTTGGTATTCAGTCCACATCCAGTTAATCATCAGGTCCTAACCATTCTGTCTCCCAAATGGTTCTTTAGTTTGTCCACTTTTCTCAACTCTATCACTTTATGCCACCATCGTCTTTTAATTGAACTACTTTAATAGTCTCCTAATTCATATCCCCATGCCTGTTTCTTAGCCCCTCAAATCCATTCTCCATGGAGTAGCTGGAGGGATGTTGTTAAAATGCATATTTTATCAGAGGTGTAGCTAGGCATTAACATCTGGGGCAGGTGTATCTATTATTTTGTTGGTTGAGGAACTATTTTCTCTTGTGTCTTTTCATTTTCACCCTACCTTCTCTAACTTTTTTTATCATCATCCTGACAATGTCATATGGTTGTGCCAATATATTACCTTCAAGTTGTTTAAGGGATTAATATTTAATAATGTAAGTGCTCGAGGAGATAAAATCCTTCCCCTTCTTCCCTAGCTACTCTTCTGCATCTGATCATACTGCTTTTCTGCTTAAAAGCCTTCTTCAAGTTGCTTTTCCCCCTTAGATAAAAGTTGAAAATTCTTAATAGCCTATGGGGCCCTGAACCATCTTTTTAGCCTCATCCCATTTCATCTTACTTCTCATTTTCTATACTGTAGTCATCCTAGCCTTGTTTCTCAAATGTAACAGCCCCCTTTTCCACATACGCCCTCCCACCTGTACCCACACACATACTTTACCTTCTAGTTCTTCTGCATTCTTCTGGTCTCAGCTTAAATCTTACTTTGTGGTGGCCGTATAATGAGTTGCTCATGCCTGTAATTCCAGCACTTTGGGTGGCCAAGGCAGGCAGATCACTTGAGGTCAGGAGTTTGAAACTAGCTTGGCCAATATATGGTGAAACCCTGTCTCTACTAAAATATAAAAATTAGCCAAGCATGGTGATGTGCACCTGTAGTCCCAGCTGCTCAGGAGGCTAAGGCAGGAGAATTGCTTGAACCCTGGAGGCGGAGATTGCAGTGAGCCAAGATTGCACCACTGCACTCCACCTAGCCTGAATGACAGAGTGAGACTCTTTCTCAAAAAAA